TTACAGATTTTAAATAAATCCAAGTACACTAAGTCGTCATTTTGATTACACTTTTTTGTCACTCGAAGTGCGTCCACCTGTCATATTGCAAGATAGTTTTTATCTCATCTCTACTTTATTCTCGATGTGAAACACAATATTATGTAATAAACAGTCCCTTGATAAAAATTTAAATGTTAAACAATTAAAATAGTTTCTTTAACGTACAATATTTTTCAGGTGAATTAGAATAGAGGTCCATTGCAACATTTGTGACCCAAGTTGATGGCTATTTGACAGTTTTAATGGTACCTCAAAATTTCCACCTGCTGGAAAGGAATTAAAGTGCTGTATTAAAAATGACTCTGCCCACATACCTTATTGGAAGAAAGCCTACGAGATGGTGGAAAATGGAGATTTTTGAGAAGAAGAAAAAATTGTTTAATCAAAACAAGTAAACGACCATCCCAGATTGGTTGGCTTACCACATTAATGGTATACAGGAACTGTGGAAGTTTTTACATGAGGAAAAAAAATTGAATCTCTCAGACCTCGAACACTAAACCAAGATGCAATTGAAAATTTGTTTGGGGCAATAAGATCAGGTTTGGGATGCAATGATAACCCCACTACTACCCACTTTATTGGTAGTTGGAAAACAACAATTTTAAATGGTCTTATTAATTTAGGTTCAGGAAGAAATTGTGAGGATGACGATAGCATTCTCCTATCAAATCTTCATAGTTTTCTTGCGGAAACCGATTCAATAGAAACTAAAGCCGACAGTCCAACTGAAAATCCGGTGATTATAGTGAATGCTGAAAACATAGCAACTGAGAGGACGTAGGTATGGGAACTGTTAAAACTATGTCAGTTGCATATGTTGGAGGATCCACTGTGAAAAAAATTTTGCCAAATTATGATTGCAAAAAATGTCAGCAAATATTATTGTCTACATCTAATGCTCCTCATAATTCATTTATTAGTTTTAAAGAGTGGTCTGACAAAACGGAAAAATTCATTTATCCTGCTAAAGAACCAGTGGTTTCAGTTGGAACTGCCATATGTTTGCTGGAAGATTTTTGTAAATCTCATGCCAATATTCCAAACCTGAGCCTTAGAAAAATTATTTTTAGATAAAATAGATTTTGAATGGGTCACTTATCCTGAACATAAGGAAGTGATTGTAAAATCAATACTAAAGGGAGTATGGAAAATTGACATTCCTTGGTGGTGTAAGAGGCAGATGAGGGAAATTAGAGAGAAAAAAGGTTGCTTCAACAAATAAATTAAAAATTATGAAACATTTAAAAAATACTTTTTTAGTTTAGTTTGTTAAATTTATTTTTAATTGTTTTAATAATACATATATTGAAATCATACTTTGTTTTATTTTCCTTTTTAATGCTAATTTATTACTTTCTTTTGTATGTGTAATAAAATGATTTTTTTTCTGATTTAGTGTGCTAGTAAATGTGAATTATTTATTAACATTTTCTGTGCATCAAATCGGAAAAAAAATCATTTTATTATGTACAAAATATAGATAAGTATATATACATATTTGAATTTCCCGGCATTCTTCTTTTTTAAACAAAATTTTAAAATCACTGTTTGCTTATAAAGAAAAAGGCCACTATTAAAGCAAGCTAAACCAGCGCCATCGGCTATTGGCGATTCAAATTAATTTTCGCGCGCCTGTCATTTGTCATCTATAAGTAGGATTTTTATTTACATGTTTTTGTTTTGGGCGGATTTTGTATTTGTGATTTTTTTGACTATTTTTAGATAATATTCTCATTGTAATAGTGTTTTTGAGTTTCATTTCGTGTTAATTTAAGTTTAAGTCTCGTGCTTTCGTCATAAATATAATATTTATCATGTGTATGACTTAATTTGTTGGACATATTCACCTATTGGTTGCTACAAGAACATCTAGAAATATGTATTCACTACACCCAGGACATGTTTTATTATGTGGTTTAAAGGACATTTCAGGTACCACACGTTTATTATGGATGAACTTATTTAAAAATCTTACTAGACTTTTCTTATATTATGAAGTGAATCATGTAGTACTTTGTATACATGTAAATGGTAATAAAACCGTCAAAAAATAAGATTACAGTTTAATTCTAAACAAAGTTTTGTAAAATTTTAATATTGTGAATTTGTAGATATCCATTTATCGTAAAAAACAAAATTTTACGACTTGTACTTAGAAAATAATGAATATTTCAGTTTTGATTTTGACATTAACACCATATAGATTGCAATTTTCTGGGGACTTTTTGCATATTTCATTTTTAATATAAACACTATCACACGCTATAAGAAATAAACAAATTTAAAGCTAAAAAGTAAGAAAAAACTCGAATTGTAATTGATACAAATTAAAATGTAAACAATGAACACGAACGCCAATGTTGCCAAATGATGAACTGATCACAGAACACTTACTCGAACTGATTTTAAAACAAAATTAATAAATGAACTGAAATATAAAAAAAATCAATATAATAAATCGATTTTATAAAAAAATCCTTAAATAAATATAGAGTATGATAACATATTACCATACACCAATTTTGATTCTTAAATAAAAGGTCTTATCCACTTCTTCAAGAGCTAAAATCCGACGACGTAGCGAAGTTTTGCTAATTCTGGCAACAGTGAACGATATCCTATTTATACGGACCTTCTTCAAATTTCCTTCAGAGGGCGTATCACTTAGCTTGAATCGCGAATATCTTCCAGTCCAATCGCCCAGTCAATTCTTGGTGAAATTCAAAATTGCATTGAGTTACGCGTCTCTGTTGTCTCTGGTTAATTTTTGGGGTGAGTAATATCTATATAAATACTGTTAATTTAATTTGTTTATTCATTGCAAACAAAATAAACATTTTTTTGAATATTCAGCTTCATAAAACATTGGAACATAAAACACATCATCATACATTGTGTCTATTTAGGGTCTATTTATACTCCCTTAGTATTAGTATTTGTATTAGTATTATGACTAAGCATTAAATTTGTTAAATCATTCAAAAAAGGTATTTATACTCGTTTTATAATTATTATTAGTAATTCTTTTTTAAACCTAATACCTCATAAGATATAATTCTGCAGTCAATAAAATATATGGTTACTGAAGAAATGTGTAAGAGGCCAGTTGTGTTCTTTTAAGATATTTGAGTTTTAAATGTGTTTTTATTAATATTTTTACTAGTTAATGTTATTTAAAAATATTGTTATTCAAAAATAGGTTTATTTAAGGACATTTTAACGGACTCAAATTCAGATAAAAAGAAGCAGAAATTTAAAACATATCAGATAGGAAAGAGGCCTTCGTGGTGACATTTGTCATATTTTTATAACTTCCATCAGGGGGGCTTATAACATATGCGCGTTATATCAACAGGTTAGTGCGCAACACATCCGCGAATATCAGTCCGTTTTACAATAATAAAATGATATTTAAATTTAAAGTACACTGAATAATTGAATAATTCAAATATATTTCGCTTAATAACAAAATTTTTACACGGTAAGTATTGTTTTAAAATTATATATTTATATAAATACTACAATTATTTGAAAAACATGAATTAATCAATTATTTGTACAATGTAAATCTGACTTTGGGATTGTCACCCGTTCGAACCGATACAATAACAAAACTGAACAAAACAATATGGTTATGGTTTCTGAATAAAACGTGGTAAGTACTTTTACTTTTATTTAATTTTAGTTTTAGTTAAACATGTTAAATTTAAAATTAAGCAAAGATATTTTGATGTTTTAACATGTGTTTAGCAGGTCCTGTTCGTAATAAATTCATAATATCTAATTGTAATAGCGTTGTTTGTATAAAGGTAAATAGTACAATTTACTGTCCAATTTATGCTGTACATTTTAAGAACACTTTTTTTATTTCCTTCCGATATTAAGCAAGGAGCTAAATGATGCCACATAAACTTCATCATTCCACTTGCGAAAAACCATTTATAGGTTACAAGACTGTAAATTGGCTTTACCTTTGAAAGCTAAATTAACAGTAAAGAGTAATACTAAAGTAATATTGTTATCATACCGTCATACAAATTACCAGTGAAAAGAAAGTTACATTCGATTAAAATTTCATCCAATGAAATATAATTATTACCTAAAAAACAATAATTAGCTCTTGGATTTTTAAATCAATCCAGTGAATGGTTAGCTCCAAGGGAGTAAAAAAAAACTCTATTTTATAATTAGAAAATAGCAAAGTAAAATTTGCGAATCAAAGAAGGACCTCAAAGCTTGATCCCACAGACATCTATTTTTTAAAAGTACTACATCTAATTAAAAGATGAAGGGACTACTATTATTAATTATAAAATATTATAATGAAAGTATAAAACTGTGACAAGGTCTAAAAGAAAAAAGAGATTCAAAATGATATGAAGTTGAAATACTACTTTGAATTTTTTCTGTTTCAGATTATATGGATGGTTCTCCTTAATGTGTTTTGTTACCTACCCAAGTTTACAGAAAGTTTTAGTTGTTTTATTAAAATATTGTTTATTTAGAAAATTTATTATAAATTAGTTTTAATGATATAATAGATAATACAATTTTTTTTTATTACATTATTTTACCCTTCCTAAAATTATGGGTCATAAAATTTTACATTTTGATTGGCATTTTGTTACATCTTGCACCTTGTCTGTGTTGTAAAAAATGCCAATAAAAATGCAAAATTTTAGTTATACTAATTAAAGTAGAGCTACAAACAAAATCCCGCTAATTTTTAAATAAAATAAAATATGCAGGTATCTATATTACCGACTGAGAAATAGTTGGACAAATCCCTTACCGGTGGCGCTGCAAGCAAACCTGTTGCCAGATTTCTTCAAAGAAACGGCAACTCTTAATTATTCTTCCTCCATGACTTCCATCTTCCATTGTGCTTCCATTGTTCCTTGTGATCTGAGCGTGGCTTGGCTTGTGTTTTACGTTTGTTTTAGATTATTTTTACGATGAGTTTTAAAGAAGAAATTTTAATAGATTTAGTGTATAAACTTCCTCATTTGTGGGATAAAAAGGACCCTAATTATAAAGACAAAGTGGCAGTGGAAAATGGATGGGAATCTATTTCTCAAGTTTTGCATATGAGAAGTAGGAAAATCATTTTGTAACTAACAGAAAACATAAGCTTACATATATAATTTTTTAGTTTCTAATGTCCAGTACCTTTGGGCCAATATAAGGACCAAGTACCTAAAGGAGAGACGCCAATTAAAAAACCTACCTTCTGGGTCCGGCGCTCAAAAAACTTGGCATCTTTTTGAGAAGTTAGGTTTTTTGGATGCAGTAATTGCCACGAGAAAGTAAGTTATTTATCAAAGTATTAACTAATTGATATTAATAATAGCTTGAAAAATCTAGTAAGTAGGCCAATCATAAGTGGTGATAGATTGCAAATCAATATTTCATATTTAAATTATAAGTGCTATTTTTTTAGGACCAAAGGTAACATACTTAAATCGAACGAAGAATCTTCATCTTCTGAGATTTGGGATGAGTTATCCGTCAATGAAGATGGATTTCAGGAGGAAACAATTGAAATCCGGTCATATATGGACGATGACGATAGTCAAACTCCATCTACGTCTAAACACCGTCTTCAGGGATCCAGTCCAGGTTGGCTCAACCAACCACGTCTGCTGAACGTTCAATCGTAACCCCAACCAGAGTTAATGAACTGAGACGAGAAATAAATACATGTAGTTTACTTCAGTCCTGTAAGGATGTAGGTGACAATGTTCAAGATGCGTTACGTAAACTAAATGAAGATGATGTCGACTCCAAAGAGGACTATTATTTCTTTATGTCCTTGGCGGAGTCTATGAAAGGAATAAAAGACAAGAAAAAGAAACTGTTGTTAAAGGCAAAAATGTAGCAGCTTGTAGCCGAAGCTGCTGACAGTGACAGCGAGTAGTTTTATTGGGGATAATCCCAAAGGGATTTCTGCCTTATTTTAGTAGTTTTATTATATTTTTCATTTATTTTTTACTAAGGTAGTTTTAGGTTTTTTTTTCATTTATTTTTAATATAGTACCTAGTTTTTTTTGTATTATTTTAGTAATTTTTGTATTTAATACGGATAAGAACAATATAAGTTAAAAAAAAGTATGTTTTAGTTTCTATTTTTTGTAAATACATTTTTATTAAATATTACACAATTAATATACATTTTAAGAAACTATTATTTCTGTATACACAAATTTCACAGTAAAATTTAATTAACACATGAAATACAAAATATTATTATATGTAACAAAATATTATTAAAAATACATTAAATATTAGGATTTCAAAAACCCAGAATAAAAATAATAATAATAAATACAAATGCACCAATTTCACATCAGATAAGTATTTTTTTTGTGTTCAATCTCTGATATAACTATTAAATAATTATCAACTCCAGAATGACATATTGAAAAAAATAAAAAAAAGTTCTAAAACCAGAAACAATTTTACGATCCATTAATTAAAACTAATTTCACTTAATATTAGACAAACTACAAATAATATTTGTACAAAAATTTTATAAATAAATAAATGAAATATAAACATTTTAAATAATGAAATTGTACTGTCCTATGCATGCTAGTTTTATTTTGAAAGTAAAAAATTATAAAATATATGACAAAACAAGACATAGTCTCGGAAATACCACAAGTCCATTCGCTTTCTTTATTGTTTAAAAGTAAAATGGATGAAACAAAAACTTACTAGATTTTGGTACGTCATAGATTAATTATATCATGTTATTATGTCAGGTGACAGTTATCAAAATAATTTTAAATTTGTGAATTTTGAACTCGATTTTGATATTTCAAAAGTTTTTATAAGTACGTGGAACCAATTCCATGGTATAATTGGACAAAAAATAAAATGGTTACAGAAAAAGAACATTAAATTATCCAATCAATGGTATGAACTATCAGATTTGGGTAGTTGTATGTCAAAATCTACCAGAAAAGAATTCCACCTATGTTGAGGAATATGGGCATAAAATATTAAAAACACCTCCATATCACTGCCAGTATAATGCGATAGAGATGGTGTGGTCACAGTGCAAACGATTTTATGATGAAAAAAATTTAACAACAAAGTCATCACTGAAAGATGTATTTCAGACTTGGTCAGAAACTTTGAATAATGTTACCGATACTCAGTGGAAAAATTATGTAAGACACACTAAAAACATTTGTTTCTGATTGGGAAAAATACACGCAATTAGATGTTTCTGACCTAGAACCAATTATTATTAATTTAGGTACAACCGTAAATAGTGATGAGTCTGAATCAGAGCCCAGTTGTGAAGAAAATGATATTGATTAAAAAATGTATGATGAATTATCCAATACATTTTTTCTCTGCCTCTTGTTATATATTTTTTTTTAACAAAGAATCTGTTTCACGAATTTGCACCTGTTTTGGATTATCTTTAAAAACCAATGTTCAGCTGGAAATTTAGTTAAAAAGTATGAAAGTAAATTGTTCTATTTGAATAAGGATAATTTCCTGAGCGTAGTATTTATATAAATTATTCTAGATTTTGTAGACAAAATATGAAACTAATCTTGATTTTTTTAAATGCACCTTAATAAAGTTTACGCTGCTAAGCAACAACAAAGCACAACTGAAATAATAAGACAACTGGAACTAAAAATGTGATATTCTATTGTCAGAGGACTTGGGGTATTTCTATCACTTTATATGTGCTGCTTATTGGGTTGCATTACCTCTCCATACATAGTCATTTTGCCAACTAAGAGCCTCTTCAGAAGACAAAAAATATTGTGCAAGTTTATCTCTGTTTTCTTGAGAAACTTTGGATGCATTATTGCTTGCAAGCCTTCCTACTGAGCTTAAGACATTGTCATCCCTCCAAGCTCCTAAAATTTCTTCATCATTATTGGTGATATCTGTAAAACCAGTTGGACAATACTTCCTGTTTTCTGGTAATAAATCAATTTCACTACTTTGTAAGTAGTTGTGTAGAACTATTGTAGCCTGCACAATTAATTCTGATACTTGTAAACTAGTATATAGAGGTTTAAGTAAAATTCGCCATCGTTGACATAGTATACCAAAAGAATTTTCAATAGTTCTACAAGCTCTACTAATTCTATAATTGAATATATTTATTTTCTCTCCTAAATGTTTACCAGAAAATGGCCTCATTCTATTATTGTGAAGTGGGAATGCACAGTCAGCAACAATAAAATGTGGTAATAAAACATTAGTATTTGGTAAACATTTTGGAGCAGGAATATCCAATTCTCCATTTAAAAGGGCATAACCCAACCCACTATTTTTAAAGACAGTAGAATCATGATTGGATCCCATCGCACCTATATCAATCATAGTAAATCTATAAAATGCATCACAACAAGCCATTAGAACAAAGCTAAATGTTTTTTTATAATTTAAAAATTCACTTCCTGAAGCTGGTGGAGCTTTAATTGTGATGTGTTTACCATCTACGGCCCCTGTACAATTTGGAACATTCCAGCGTTGGTAAAATTATTTCTCTATTTGAGTAAATGTTTCTCTATTTGGTACAGGAAGCTGGGAATGACTCAAAACATTCCACAAAATTAAAGTAGTTTCCTTAATTACAACGTGAGCTGTTGTTAATCCTATTCGATATCCGCAGGCAATTTCCTGCATTGAACAACCTTCAGCTAAAAAACTATTTTTATCTATAAAAGCTGTATTAAGTGAAATCATAATTCTTACTGTATTGTTAACATGAGTCTCTGGTCAGGTTTTAGGGTATACTTGGTTTTCCGCTTTTTTTAAAAAGGTGATGTTAATTCCAAGATGTAATCAAATTGATTTTTCCTCATCATACTCATTTGTTCTCATGTTTTTTATCAGCGTGCTAAAAAAACCGTCTTCGCCTCTTTTTCGGTTTAGAGGACGTACTATACCTTCTAAATCTCTTATTCTTTGTCTTTATTGCTGCCACAGTAGCACCTAACATATTTAGATACATAGTTAAGGCAAGAATTTTAATAAATTGAACTACCTTATTAATAAAATAAACTTTTTAAAACTTTATATTCGGTACACACAACTGATATTATTCGTATTTCTCGTACTCGTAGTATAAATTGTCTATGGTATAAATCATAAAACCTTTTTATTTTTCTATGAATAAATACAAAATACAAGAATAGAAGTAAACATCTGACATCAATGACATGAGTGTCAATTGTTATTATCCGTTGTCTATTAGGAACAAAGGCCTGATAAAAAGAAGATATTTAAGAATTAAATTTAAAGTTGAACCTGTCAATTATTAAGCATAAATATTAATAATAATAATAATATTTATTGCTTCTAAACCTGAGTTACAGCAATGAGTACAGATATAAAAAAATTAGATCTTAAAACATAAAAACAACATTATTCTTCCAGTACAAAAGAGCGCAATTTTAATATATTCCAAATATATTCAGCAATTTTCCTAGCTTCAAAAATTGTTATATTTTGTAAAGTATGCAGCAATGAGTTTACATTTTTAAGGCAAGCGATATTTTGCTTCATTGTTGAGTAAATAGGGCAATCAAAAAGTATGTGAAAAATTGTTTCTTTTTCATGTGTATTACACACAGTACAATCTAGTTCGGGGTCAATAACATAACTAATACCATTTAATGTAAATTTAATCCTAAAATGGTTGGACATACGCAATTGAGCAAGAGTACGGGTAACCTGGATTGGTAATTTAAAGAGTAAGTATGTACTTGGTTCACAAGATGTAGGAACATAATTATATAAATACATAAAAGGATAGCGAGACGCTATACTAACATCTGAATCATGTAAATGTGTAAAATACTTGGAAAACAATTCTTTTCTATATGAACTAAAAGAAGGATGGTTTAAATTGTTCCATTTATGAACACAATCAATATCAACAAAGAACTTTTTCAACTGTACTATCCAGTTATACTTTATATCTGTAGAGTTGATCAAACGCAATTGTTGTTTAAAACAAAGCTTTGGATATCGATGATTATCCATTGTCATTATTTTTTGTATCCAATTAAGGGACATTTTAAAAGCATAAATATTAATGCTAATACTAATCATAAATCGAGTATAAATGTCCCCATTACATTTACATTGTAAAGGTTCAACTTTATGCTTAATCATAATACTAATAATAAGGGAGTATAAATAGACCCTTAAACTGAAAAAAATTAGTATTATGAAATAAGTTGTTTATAAAAAGGACTGTGGGGTCCTTATGACAAATGGCTATATTGCAGTTTTTTACCTCCGGATTAAAAGTGGGCACTAGTGGGACTAGTTTTTGAGATATAGGGTGTTGAACTTGTGAATTCCTATAATTTTTAAAAATACATTAAAAAGTAAATGTTATTTTGCTAATATTGGTGAATATTAAATGTTACGGTTTGACTCTCTGAGATATTTGTGGCTTCCAAAATGCAATATCAATCATTTTTGGAAAATAACTTTATAGGATGAGTAATTTTTTAAAATTAAAGTAGAAAAACTGCATATATAAAGAATCATTTAACGCGTAAAATAATGAAAATGAATAGATTATTTATATATACGAGTGTATGTAAATGACACTTTATTATTATAAAAAATACATGTATACCGTCTGAGCCAAAAAGTTGGTTCAATG